TTTGATTTCTCTGTTTATCTGCTTGACTGAGCTGAAATCAGTTTCTGTAAGTGAAAGTCGGCTGCTTGGAGCAGATGTTAATGCTCAGAAATAGTGTACGGTCTGCTATTAGCATAAGTAGCATGATGCTAATAAATAGAGGTGTGCAGGGCTAGTGGCAGTGGTGCCGGTGGGGACCGAGGGACAGCGGCCTGCCCAGTGACAGAGCCTATGCCCCACCCAGAGGAAGAGGGAGAGCCCCAGCCTGGGTGCTGGACACCTTCTGCCCAAGCCAGCCCCGCCCTTCCTCCTCCCCAGCACCCCAGTATGCAGCCAGCTAGGGGCCGATGATTAATGACGGCGAGGACTGTAACCAAATTGTAGTGCCATTAGCACCAAGTCACAACTGACAACTAGATACATCATCTCTGAGCTTTCTATCCAGCTAACTAATTTAACTATGTGAATACGGGAAACGCTGCTCTGATGCCATAAGGCAAATATTGCCAATACCCGGGAGCCTGTCAGGAATGAGAGACGGGGAATCCATCGGGGCCCAGCAGCCAGGTCCACAGTCCTGGCTGGGTCAGCAGATCTGTCTTCATGGCATTTGCGCTTCAAGGCTCTGGAATAATTCCGCCATACACCCCACGGAGCCAGGACCAAATAATCCACCAAACCAAGCCCCCGAATCCAGGACCACCCCCACTGGTCTCCCCTGACATGGAGATGACAATGTTTCCTTCCAAGTCAGGGAAGGACAGATTTGGTCACAGCAATGCATTTCTCCCCATCCCCGAATTTCTCCCCATCTCTGCAGCTCCCCACTTTCTCCGGGAGAGGGACTTGCAGGAGCTCTGATGAGATACAGGTGGGCCTCCGTTCTCACAGGAGCTGCTCCCGAAATAGTGAATGCAAATTGTTATTATCTTCTTTTTTGTCATTTTACAATGAATCTTATTTGAAATGTGCTGTGTTTGCTCATCAGAAGAGCCTTATAAGGAATCCTTTTAGAAATAAAAGAATCCTTCTGCCATGTGAATAGTTGCCCTTTAATTCATCTGCTTTATGAGCTTGGGGGCGCCACACAGCCATGTTCTTAAGCCAGCCCCTGAGTTACCAGGTGATTTATTCTCTGAATCAGAAGGGCCCCCACTCAAATCACCCCTCTGCTGTATGGGCCAATGGCTGGGAAGGTTGGGGGGCCAAGACATTGACTCCATGTTAGAAACTCCAGATTCCCAAGTTTTTCACCTGCCGTAGTGGAGGCAAAAGAGAGCCTAATAGGTTCTCTGTGGCTCAGCAAATCCAGTCTCCTCTCTGGGGTTCCCTACTCACAGTCAGGGAAATGAGGACAAGCTCGTGGGATAATGTCTGTGAACCAAGACAGGAAAACTCAAAGCTCTCCAGCAATGGAAGGAGACATTCGTGCGTAAGCAGCCGTGTACCCGCAGCCGCGTGCCTGGCTGAAGCACAAGGGCATGGTATCTGGAGTGGCTGGGCCAGCTTGCTGGAAGGCTGCATTCTGGAAGTGGCCGCCCACGCCAGTAAGCTCAGAAGACAGTAATGGCAACAACCCAGATAATTCTGGGAAATTTAGCTTCCATGAGAGAGATCCAGATAATGGAGATGGGAAGAAAGACTTCGGTGCCTGAATAATTGTCCAGCACCCCTCTTTCCAGGGCAGCCACTTAGAGAAGAACTTTAGGTCACTGACAGTTACCTAAATAGATAATTCATGCCTCATGTAAACAGCACTTTCTCCTTGGAGAGGTTCTCTCTTCTCTTTTCTTTTGTGTAAAATTTGCAACTCCCTTATGAGTGCAGGAATTATTATCCCATTTGGCAGATGAGAAAACTGAGTTTGCATATATGTTGAATACGGGGCTGTTACTTCTATAGACAACATGCTACGTTTATTTCTGTCAGAAAATTAACACCATGTCACCTGACCTTTCGTTTTTTTTTAATTTTCTACTTTACCTTCCAGAACATAAAAAGTCAAATCCCTGACCCAAGTGATCTAATCTGTTTCTCTCAGGTGCTTGAAAGCATATATTTCCTGTTTCCCTCAAGGAGGCTATCATCATTTCTCTTAAATGTCTGGTCTTTCATCTGAATGCTATTTCAGATGTTAATGGGGTACAGTCTCCCCAAAAGATAGCATCCATCCCTCCATCTGTTATTCCACAAACCCTGGGCGAGGGTTACAAAGGTGACTGCGATGCAGTCCCTGTTCTCCAAATGCCTACAAAGAAATAAAGTACAAAGCCACATTTCCCCAAACTGCCACAGGAACACACATTCAAAGTGCTGGGATGTTCAGAAGAAGAAAGGCTGTCTCCTGAGGGGCTGACTTGGGGAGCTGCTGCACGGGGTGTCCTTCGATCCTGGCCTTGATGAATGGATATGATTGTGAAATGCAAAGATCAGCAGAAGTGCCCTCTGCAAGGAGAAAGCGATTTGAGTAACAGCAGAGAGGTGCTAGGGAAACAGTGCAGGGCCAGGTAGGCCGGCGGCGGACCCCCAGTGGACATGGTGGAAGGGGAGCTAGCATAAGCCATCAAGGGGCTGGACCCAAGGCCAAGGAATGTGCGCCGTAGGCGATGGACAGGGACACACCCTCATTCCCTTCCTTGAGATTTCTCAGCGTTAACAGACCAGAGATTAAGACCAGAGTTAACAGGGAGATCCTGTTGAGGGGCCAGGGCAGGGCCTCACTCTCTCACTACCCACAGTGACCAAAGCAGACCAGTGCCCTGCCTTCTCACTGTCCTGCACCCAAGGACCCTAACTGCACCCCGATCTCAGGGTGCTAGAGGTCTGGTCCCCTCACGCTCAGCTGCATCCTACATCCTGAAAGCCATGATGGAACGGCCCCTCTATCCTAGCACAGGAGAGTGCCACTTCCATGATGGAAATCCTCCATTCCCAAACTTCTCACCTCCAAAGACACTATTGGTTCCACCCACCCCACCCCACCCTCAAGTCCTCTACTTTCTTAAAGGTTTTGCCTTTAAAACAAACTGCTGTTATTAAATAAATAATTTATTTCCTTCCCCATTTTTTATTAATCAAAGGCTAATCAGAGCTGCAGATCGGCATGCGACAACCAGTGTTAGCCACACGGAGTGGATATAATTCTTGCTAAAAGCAGCGAGGTGCTATTTTTGTTTTCCCCGTGCAGCCTCATCAAGGGGACATGTGCAATTTCCATTAGGCTTTGTGAAGCATCAAGAAAGAGCTGGGACTCTGGGACTCCAGGGTGGCAAGCTCAGCTAAACTGTCCACACCCTCAAGGGACCTTGGGGGACTGCAAAGAGGCAGTATGAGAACCAGTTTCCTGCTCAGTGAGGAGCAGCTGGAGGGGGCCCAGTTGAGGCTGGAACCTGGGATAGAAGGGTCTCCCAGTACCTGCAGAGGTTGTCAGGACAGGCAGCTCCGGCCTCAGAGGGCTGCTCTGGGCAATGATTCAAGCTGAACCTTGTCCTGGCCTGAGGCTGAGGATCCCCAGAGCCACTGACAAGCCTGTGACCTCACCCCATCCTGCTCTCCCATGGGTGACTCCCACCCCAGCTCCTGCCTCAGCAGATAAGATACCTGCTTACCCCACCCCTCCCTCACCTGTGCCACCCCCGAGCTTAAAGATACTACTGGCAGCATCAGGGTTCCACGACCTGGACCAGATTCTTATCAGTCTTTTTTTTTTTCTAATCCTGCTGACTTTTTTCCTCCCTTTCTCTCTCTCTCTCTCTCTGTACTTATTGATCCCAAATGAGGAAAAAGTCTATTAATCCTAAACCCAGAGAAGATTAGAGATAGGGCCGAAAGGGCTTGTCAGGACAGAGCTGCACGGGCATTATCTCCTAGGAAGGTGACCACGTCACTAGCAGAAGGAGGAAGGAGAACAAAGGGAAGGAACAGAAAGTGAAACAAAGAGTGGCCATCCCAGAAAGCAAATATGATCCCTGCTCCATCGGACTGAGGGGAGCTATCCATTCCCAACTTTGCACCCACCTCTTGATTTGGGAGATGGGAGCTGGGGTGGCAGGGGGTAGGGGGAGTGGGGAAATACAAAGATGATTATAACCCACCCCCATTCTTAAAGTGTCTTGCTGGGCAGGCAGGAGCTGGTGGATTTTCTTCTCTCCTGGGGCCACAAAGATTTGGCTCTTGCTTGGAGTCACCCACAATCAAGAAAAGCACGGGGTGATGGCATGTCTCTATACAATGTGGAGCAGCCTACTCTGACTGCTGAAGCCAGATGACCCACCGGAGACCTTAGGCAAGTTCCTTAGCCTCTCTGCGCCTCAGTTTCCTCCCCCATAAAACAGACACAATCATTGCAACAGCCTGATAGAGTTGTGGTGAGAATTAAATGAAATCACCGGTATGAAGAGCCTGTGTACGTGTCAGTCTTATTATGAATAAATACTTTTTATTATACTTTCACCCGAAGTGCAGGAAGGCTGGACTGTGGCTGGAAGAGAGTCTGACCGGCTATCATCTCTGCAGGATGGCCTGGGTAGCGCGGTCTCTAGGGACAATACAAACGTTCAGCAGTGCTCCAACGCTGATGTAACCAAAGTGTTTGGTTCTGTGCGGTGGCCATTGTCCGTTCTATGAGTGGACCACACAAAACACCTCAAGGACCATTCACAGTAGCCCCTCGGGACCAAGCTTGCAGGTCTCAGCCCTTCTGGGTCTTGCTCTGCACAGAATCAGAATCTCTGTGGGTGAAGTCCAGGCACCTACATTTTTCAGGGAGAGATATGGAGGCCAAGGAAAGTCAGATTCCAGTCCAAGCTCCTGTGGCTGTTGGGTGGTAGCTGGTTGCTGATACCCCGTGGGAATAGAACCCAGGTTCCTGACCCCCTACCAGCACCACGTCACACTTTCCCTCAAAAAATTCCTCCCTGGCTTGTCTAGAAGTCCGCCAGTTGCTTGCAAAGCAAATCCAAAACTATTGGCTCCCCTTGGCTGTAGGGAGGCCAGGCAGCAGACTGTCTCCCCTATTGGAGCTTCCTTTCCTACTGCCAGTCCCCCAGCCTCCATTCACTCACCAGTTTCCTCCATTTGGGAGCTGGCGCTGAGCTCCTGGATGTGCCCTGGTTTGCATGCTCCTCCATGAGTTCCCTCACGCAGTGGGTGTGGTACGCTACATCCTGCCAGACCTGAGCTCCTTGAGGTCAGAGACAGTGTCATAAGCACCTCGACCCATGCAGTCTGGGTCAGAGCAGTGGACAGATAGTGTGCCTCTGTGTCCTGCTCACCAGGCACACCTCTCACCTCTCAGGCCCTGAGCAGAGGCCCATTGGATCAGAGGAAGAAGTCCAGGTTACCCATCCAGGCACTTCCTGAGGACCAGATACATGTATGATCTCATCTATTCTCCCACCGATGCAAGGAGGCTGGTACTATCACCATCCTCATTTTACAGATGAGGACAGCAAGGCACAGAGCACCTGAATGACCTGTCCAGTAAATCCCCAATTTGAGACCTTGTTTCTTAAACCTTTAGTACACCACCTCCACCTGGGTCATCCTACCCTAGAGCCTCCATCCTCTGGGAAAGTAGCAATTTGGGGTTAAAAAAAAAATAAAGGAATGAGCTAAGAGCAGATGGTTTGTTTACTGTTTATTACCTACTTGAAATTATGACAGTTAGCCTCCAAGTTACCAATTTACAGAAGAATAACAGCAAAAAAGGATACTGCTAGTACCTCCACCTGGTATAGTGGAGGAAAATGCTGCTGAACTAGGAGACTGTGGTGTTGAGGTTTTTCAATTATTAGTATTGTTACTACAAAAACAATATATGCAGTCAGTAACAAGTGCAAAGGGGTATACAGTGAAGTGTGATTCTCCCTCCCACTCGAGACCCCATCCCAGTCTCCAGAAGGTGCAGTTTCCTGTGTATTCTTCTAGAAATATCTCACGTACAGGCAGGCACACACAAACACACCCACACACACTTTCTGTTGTGGAAACTGGAATGTGCTCCCCACACTGCCATGCACTTTGATTCCTGGCTTTGCAACGTATCTTGGATCTTTCCAAATCAGCATGTATATAAATCTACTTCATTCCATCTAGTAGCTGCATAGTATTGCATTGTCCAGAAATTCACTAACTGCCATAGCCAGACCCCCACTGATAAGACATTTAGGTTGTTCCTGGTTTTGTGTCTTCTTTTATTACAAACCACAGTCAATATCCCCGTGAGCATCCACTCCATACATGTATAATTCTACCTATAGAATACATTCTTGTAAGGAAAATATTTCAATAGACATAAGCATTCTACATTTTGATTAATATTTGGCTCCAGAGAGACTGCACCAATTTAAACTCCCATTAAATTTTCTTTGTTGGATTTTCTGTTTCCTCAAACTCCTTACTCACATTATGTATTATCAGAAAATGCTTAATATTTGCCAGGACGTGAGTTTCAAATCTTCCCCTGATATTAGCTAGCTGTAAGACCTTGAACAAGTCCCTTTGCTTTCAGGGCCTCAGTTTCCTCACCTGCAAATTGAAGGTCAGGAACCTTTTTAGCTCTACTGTCTGTGATTGTAAGTATCTATCAAGTGTCTGCAGGTGTTAAAACTGTGCTAGGACCCATGAGTTCTCCTAGCCCAAAAGAACTTAAAATCTGGTTGGAGAGCTAGAACATACCCAGAGAAAATTTAAGGAGCAACTTGGGATAGCCTGAAATCAAATGCAGTGCAGCTTAGTCTGTGGGCCTATAGAAGGTCATGGGAAAGTGATCAAAGGCCCAGTGGCCGGGGCTGTCATTGGAGGAGGTAAAGCATGTGTGGAAAAAGGAGGAAAATGCACAGAAGGGTTTGACTGGAAATGAAAAGAAGAAACATCTTATCCCACCGTATAGCCAGAGCCTGGAAAGCCAGCCTGCATTCTCTCTCCCCAAACCACCCCACAGTCTGCTTGTTTTTTCACCACTGACTGAAACTATGTGAAACATCAGGTTTGTCTCAGAGCATGGTTTGATGTTCCGGTTCAGTGAGGATCAGCTCTTGTCCCAGCAGCTTCACTAAGTACTGAGTTCTTTGTGGAAACATCAGTTCAGTTTACTGTTCTGGGGGCGGGGGGAAATTTACGGCACATAAACCTTGATTACCCCAAGTTCTTGGAAAATGGAGGGTTCTAATTAATTTAGTTTTCTGAGTAATGGAGGGTAAAAAGGGTTTGGGGGTTCAGCTCATTCCAAGAATAACTTTAGAGGCTCGAGCTCCTCTCCTGCTTGGGTCAGTCTGGGCTGGTGACCCTTCTCCAGTGCTGGATCCAAACTCACGGCCAGCACTTCTCAGGTCAGTTCTGTGGTGGCTAAGTTGATATCAGGGAGTGCAGCTGGCATTTCTGGCTTCTGGTGGGCTCTACAAAGCACAGGGCTTGCTGTTTTCTTCTTGATCATTGTGCTCGTTTGCAGGCGATTTAGCTTATATTCTTGCAAAGAGCATGGGGGCAATGGGAAAACCATCGCATAGGTTGAGGGTTCTGCTAAATTGATGTTATGTTATTTGGGGCTTATGTAAATAAATGGCATTGGCCACGGTTTGTTACAGCTGGAGAGGCTCCTGGTTTACTGCCCATTTTATAGATAAGGCAACTGAGGCCCGACATGTGGGGTGGCTTGTTTCAGAGCTCTCAGAGAATCGGTGTGGTGACCACACCTTGCAAATCCAGGCTTTCATAATGGACAGGTTATGTGACTTACCCAAGGTCCCACAGCCCACGAAGGGTAGAGTTGGGATTCAAACTAGGCCCCATTGACACCAAAGCTTCTCCCAAGAAGTTCCCAGAAAGTGCAGGGACCCCTTTCTCCCTGCACTTTAGAATCCCTTTGTCAAGAAGGATGCCCAGAGCTTGCATGTTAAACCTGACATGATCCTGAGGCAGGTTGTGGTGTGACAGGAGCTTCTCTGCAACAAGCTGCCTTCAACGGTTTCATTAAAACATCATTCTTATGGCATTATCCTACTTTCACGCAGGTGGCTTTAGCCCAGGTCACTCACCTCCCAAGCGCTGAGTAGTACTCACTAGGGGAAACTTGAAAATCTAATACCTTTCTGGCCCCTACAGGACAGAAATAGGAAGTCACTAGGAAAGAAGGGGAAGAAGAGGAAGTCACTAGGGAAATCAGAAAATACCTTGAGACAAATGAAAATGAAAACACAACATACCAAACCTTATGGGATGCAGCAAAAGAAGTACTAAATAAGTTCATAGCAGTTAGCATTGACATGCTTTACTCACAGCCAGGCAAATGCAAGTCACCTCTCCGAACACAATTTTTGTCTCCTTTAAGGGTTGCTTGTGGGTTGAAAGAACATGCATCCTCTAACACCCTTATAGGATGCCCCACACTGAGACCAGGAAATCGTCCCAGCCTTGGCCCTGCTACCATCTGGCCATGTGACATTTCTTTGCTGCTGTTCCTCCAGAGGTAAAAAGATACAATAATTTCCACCCCACCTACCTTCCTGGACTGCAGGGATAATTGAGGTCAGTGGTGCTCAAACTTCAGTGCACCTCAGAATGCCCCGAAGTTCTCGTTAAACACAGTTGGCTGAACCCCACCCCAGAGTTTCTGATTCCAAAGAGAAGTAAGGAAGGTTTAAGAATTTGCATTTCTAATAGATGCCCACAGGGTCTTCCTGCAGGTCGCAGCCACACTTTGGAGAACCATTCCTCTATGAGACTGTGAACAAGGGATCTTGTGAAAGGGGTTTTTAAGAATTATTTTCGATTTTGTAAAATGCAGGATCCTTCTTTAAAGGTGAAAAGTACCATTTCCTCCCTTCCGCATCATGTCTGATCAATGTAAATGTTCATAAATCCCATTCTCTTGTCCAGGAAGCTATGGAAGGTTGACCTATCGGCCAGTCACCAAGGGACCCTAATAGTCCTTTCCTTCCCGCCCCTCTCCTCTCCTCCCTCCCTTAAGAAAGGTCAGCTCTAGAAACCAGAAGATTCTCCCCAAGAAATGTGAAAATATTTGCTCAAGTTCACAACCTGCTTGCCCTCCACCCTCCACCCTCCACCTGCACAAACCTAGCCACAGACACAGAACCCACACCTATGCAGACATGCCGGGCAGCTACCACTCCCCTCCCCACACCCCAGAAAGCCCCCTCAAAGGGCGCCAGGAACACCGCTGGCTCCCAGTCTAGGCGTGGCCAGGCCTCCTCTAACACGGGGCTATTGTCTGGAGTTAGGAGGAAACACATTAGAAAGGACTCCCAGAAGTCATTAACCCCAAATAAGAAGGGCCTGTTGTTGGTTCCTTCTGGTGAAGATAGATGTGAAAGGGCAGGGCCTCTAAAAAGAGCGACAGGCCACCGTCCCTCCAGCCGGGCCAGGGCAGTGCCATCCTCAGAGGGCGTCCAGGGGATAGGGAACCGGAGCCACCCTGTGGTCAGCTTAAGAGGGAAGAAAGGGGGAGGCAGAAAAAGGGATACCAGAAGGGTGGTCTGCTGGCCAAGCAAGAGGCCCCTAGGAAAGAGAGAGATAGTTAACAAAGGAGAAAGGAGGAGAGCAGGCGGCAGAGGAGAAAGAGAGGGCCGAGGGCGAGACGCTTCAGGGAGAGGAAGCGGGACGCAAAGAGCGAAGCGGGAAACCGAGAGCGGGACTGGTGCAGCCGCCGCGACCCCCGCGCCCCGGCCCAGCCCGGCAGCGCCCCCTTCTCCTGCTGGGCGCTGCGGTCGGCGCCGGGAGCCACGGCCGTGGCGGGGAAGGCGTAAGGCGCAGCTGCGCACCCCAGAGGCCCGCGGCTGGCGGCTCGGGGGACGCCCGGCGGGGGAGCTTGGGCTGTGGGCCGCTCCCTCCGCGTCCCAGCCCTTAATGGCTTGGTAATTGATTGGCCCCGCGTCCCGTTTTCACCGCGGGCGGCCGGCGCCAGAGGTCGGCTAATATCAATATTTCCCACAGCTGCTCCGCGGTGTGGATCCTCCCGCTCCGGGGCTGCCCCCGCCGGCCGAAAATTTACCTTTGGTTTAACAAGAAGTGGGAGCTGAGT